CTCCTGCCCCGAGGCCCAGGGGAAGGAAGAGGATGATCCGGGAATTGTAAAGGTTTATGCTTTTGGCACGAAGGGACATTCGTTATTGGTACTTCCTGCCTCGGTGGGTTTCTGAGTTGGGAAAACAGAATGCAGCACGCGGGGCGGTCTGCCTGAGGAGGGTGCCCAGTCCCCGGGGAAGTACGGGGACACACCTGCATGCTCCCACCGCTGGCGCTGGCAGCCGGGCGAGGCGGGGGGCCTAACACGCCGGTGGGCTTGGAGGTGCCGGTGAGGCAGAGGCGTGTCTCCCCGTGAATACGTGTCCTCTGGTGAGAGGGGACGCGGTCTTTGAGGAGCTCACCGCATCATTCATTCATTCATTCATTCGGGAACGAAGCAGGAGCTATCACCGCATGCCTGGTTTGACTGTAAAGTCACCTCTTACTCAGTTTGCCCAGTGCAGAGTGGGGACTGGTTTTTCCTCACTGCCCTTGGAAAACCCCCCGCAGGTGTCCCGTGACGGGGTCAGAGGCTCTGAGCGAGGTCAGGGAAACTGCGCCATGGACTTCAGCTGGACAGCAGTGGGGAAGGAGGGGACTGGGCGAGGGGAGGGTGGGGTAGGATGAGGGGAGGGGGCAGGACGAGGGGAGGGGGCACGGCCCCTGGCCAGGTCATGCTGCTGGCATCTGTCTCCAGCACTCATCCCAGTGTCTTGCCAGGAGTTTGAGGAAGTGGCCTCAAGCGCCTCCTTGCAGAAGCCGAGGCTGAGCCGGCCTCTGGCCCCTGGTTCCTGAGCAGCGTGAGGACCGGGGGCTGGGAGGGCGTAGCTGTGCGGGCATCTGGCTCCTTCGCTGAAGACGCGGTGGGGAGAAGGGAGAACCAGACGGCCGGGGAGTCAGCGTGGCCGCCAGCTGAGTCGCCTTCCTGCTGGACGCCCCAGCCTCACCCACCGCAGTGTCCCCCGCTGTGGGGCCAGGCCATCGGGCTTGCAGTCTCCAGAGACCCTAATTCCTGTGCCAAGCGGGAGCGGAGTTTACCCAGTAGCAATCCTATAATTAAAGGGCAGCGGTGGTTTCCTTGTGAGACAAAATAACAGATCGTGGAAAGCTCTAAAAGCGCCTTTTCAAGACTGAAGTGAAAGCATGTGGCGTCAGTGTTGCAGCCCCCGAGTTCTGCTCGCCACTGCAGCCGCCTGGGGTCCCTCCCGTGAGTCCTCCTGCCCTCCCCTGCCGCCCGTCCGCAGGGAGGCCGCAGCTCTGGGGCCAGACAGATCCGCGGGCCAGGCTCAGGTGGTCCTGGAGCCCCGCACCTGTTTCTTTAGGAGCTGAGACAATCTGATGGCCGCATCGTAAGGCCGGGGTGAGGAGTAACTGTCTATTACGTGCTTGGTGTCTGGCACCCACGTTTCAGACTTAAGCTCTGTCGTGGCAGGCGCGTTTCTGCATTGTCTGCCGCTGCCGCAGCCGCCAGAACGGTGCCAGGCACGCGTGTGTCAGCAAGTGACGGACTGGCTTCACCACTAGGGTCCAGCTAGTGACCAGCTGGGCCCACAGTAACTCTCGGTGGCAGCGACGAGGGAGAGCGAGGGCCGTGAAGTATGCCGTGAACACATGGGCTGCGGTGGGCTCGTCGAGGGCTCTGCTTTGATGTATTCATCAAGTATTTGTTGTGCGGGGGACACAGCAAATGAGGTCGCTTCCCCTCCCCCCGCGCCCCAAATGCATGTGCCGTTACGACGAAACAGCCGTGTCCAAGTGCGTGCGGGGTTACAGGTCCTTTCCCGCCCGGGCCCCCGCCCCTCAGCCCCCCAGGGGTGTCCTCAGGGCTCAGCCCACGAGGCTCTATCCCCCTCACACCTGGTGCCTGTCCTGGGCTGGCCACTCAGATATTTCACGGCAGCTCCGAGGCCTGCGGTAAATGCCAATTGCCAGAGAGGCGGAGGCAGCGAACCGGAGGAAACGCGGCAAGGCCGTGCTGCGCTTAGGCGGGGAGCTCGGCCTCCTCCTTCGAGTGCCGGGGCGGACACCCACCTTCTTGGCCGCCTGGACGGGGCGTGTAACTCGGGCCGGGCCCCTGTGGGTGTGCCGGCTGCCCACTCCGGGGTCCACTGGCAGCTTAGACTGAAAACACGGGCGAGCTCGGCGCGGTGGCGGCGTTGTGGGCCGTGAGGTGTATCTGGGGCGCGGTGACGGCTCGTTGAAAACTTTTTTCTAAAACCAAGGGCCAACCGTGTGCCTAGAGGGACGAGGGGGCCCCGTGGTTAAAAACGCGTGTGACGGATTGATGCGAGGCGGGCCGAAGGGCGCAGAGGACACATCGGGCCAGATTCAAGGTCAAGGCTCTGTGGCGCCACCTTTGTCCAGCCCTCACCGCGAGCACACAGCACGCTCGTTTTCATCGCCGGATGCCCCAGCCGTAACTGTCACCGTCACCGCTGCGCCCCTGGTGCCTCGCCTGGTGCTTGGCACCGATCGCAACGCTAAGCTCTGCTTCCTGAGAGGACGGACGGGCGCTCGGAAGAGGAAGGACTGAGCGTTGCCTTCGGCAGCTTAGTGAAAGTCGATGCTTTTATTCCTTTTATAATGAAGGGGGTCCAGAGGGCTGGGGACAGAGATGTTATAGGAGGAGGGACGATGGCACCGCTTCTGCAAAAGACACCCCTAGAATACACGCGGAGGGGAAGTGGACCCCCGGGACAGCCTTTCCCATCCGGAAAATCGGGACTAATCCAGGCAAGCCGCCGGAGCTCCCAGGGCGGACGCCAGCCCTCCTGGGGGTCCCGGCTGCGCCTCCCGGTGCCAGGGACTCCAGGTCATTTCCATTCCCCGAAGCGACCTGCACCTTCCGCCTGAGCACCTGCCCTGACTGAGTCCATCTTCCGCCCCTTCCCGTCTTCCCGTGGCGTCTCGGTCGAGGCCGGTTCTCATTAGGTTCCGGGACCGGTTTGCATCGCTGGCTGTGCAGACACCCTTCTCTCGCTTCAGGGGGGTCACCCAGCCCTATGCCTCCCGGCTCCACCCCCCGATCCTGCCATCTCCCCACCGCGCCCCCGACTCCTCACTCCCGGGGCGCAGACTCTGCCTTGGACTTCCGGGCAGGCCTGGCTTACGTGGAGCAGGGAGTGGACGCGTGTCCCCACCAGGGGAAGGTCTGGCCTTGGCAAACACCCCGGGTTCCATCCAAACTGACCCAGCTGTGGAGACCCTCGCTGCCCGCTGCCTCCGCTCCACCGAGCGGCTCACAGGGTCCTTGGCGCCAGGCCTGCCGCAGCTGGCCGGGTAGCAAAGCAGTCGCGAGGCTGCGTGTGACAGGTGCGGGGGCCGGGCTGGTCATCAGGCCCGGAGTGTGCGCGGGCTGTGGCGAGCAGGAGAGCCGTCGTCAGTGGTGCAAGGCGGTCGCTGTGGGCCGGGCGGGGAGTGAGAAACGCGGTTTCACTGTGGGTTTTATTACGTGTGACACTAGTCGGAAAGGCTGGCCTTGTGGCCGGCGACCTGCCCGGGGAGGGCGCGGCACTCAGCAGACACGCGGTGTGGGCGTCCGGGGGTCTCCCGGCCCCTCCCCTGCCCCCGCTCCGGCGCCGGCCAGGCTACACGCTGGCAAATTCGCAGTCGTAGTTGGTCATCCGGCACATAATGAACTTCCACTGGCGGTCCCTGCGAGAGAGTCAGAGAGCCGGGGTCAGCGGGAGAGGACCCTGCCGGGCGAGGGGGACAGACAGGACACGGGGCGGAGCGGGAACGGGGTGGGGGGACCCCAGCCTCTCTTCCCCCTCCAAGGCACCTCTGTGAAGTCCCCAGGAAATGGTCGTGTGTGAGGTGAGGAGCCCCAGACACCGCCGTCCCCACGTCAGGCTGCGCCGTGACGGTGACAAGGCTACTGGCTGGGGGGCCCTGTCCACCACAAGGGCCAGCAGCGCCCAGCTCTGTCCCAGAGGCGCCCAAGGACTCGCAGGCGTCCACGCATTGACCTCACGCCGTCCCCGTTGCCCGAGTGCCCGCTGCGCGGGGTGCCCTTGGGTCCCACGCCTTTAACAGTGACAGTGACCGTGGTAAGGGCCGCGTGCCGAGCCCCCGGGCTGCATCCGGCATCCCGCTAGATGCTCTCCGAGTTTCCTCACCGAACCCTCACAGCGACTCATTGTTCGGGCGGAGAACCAGACGCGGGGAAATGAGTGGCTTTCTTGAAGACAATCAGGTGACGGTTTTAGATGCTGAGTTTCTTGAACTCCGATCTCGCTGCTTCCCTCACCCCATAATGCCTCTGCAGCCGGACGCCCGTCACCCCACGAAGGAGGGGGCCGTCGCACCCTCTGCAGAGTCCTGGTACCGGGGGAAAAGCCCAGCGGGTGGCTGTGTCCCCACTTTCCACCCCCAAGGCCTCTGCCACTAGTGCCAACTCTGGCGAGGTCCCACTGACGTGGAAGGTGGCTCTGGTGACCGCAGTCCTTGGGGACAGCACTGGCCAGCAGCTGTGGGACATGCTGCTTAATTAAAAATATGTGTAGAATAAAAATAATTCGTGTGCGAGCCCCGAGGGGTTCTCCAATGCGTAAGCAAGATAGTTTTTGTTCATGGAGCTTAAAACATGTTATTGTGCCTTTTCAGAGCTACTTAATGTTTATTTATTAATTTATTTTTAAATTTTGGGCCACGTTGAATAATTTAACTTCAGTTAGGCGAGATGTCATTTCATTTAAAAGTATAAATATACACGAAAGATCAGTCACACTCGAATTTATCCCAGCCCCTTATTTAATGAGTTCACGTAAGTTTGCTGCTCACTTTTCAGGAGCTCATTTGCCGTCGATGTGCTTATCACCTGGCCAAAAGTAGGTCAAATCAACCTTTCACCACCTGAATTTGCCCACACCTCTCTCTGTATTAGCAGGGACAGAATTCTTGTTTTCTGCCTATTGTTTTGTTTTGCTGTGTTTATGGTAGGATGGGGGAGCTGCTCGTGAGTGCCGTGTTTCCTTTGGGCTGTTCGAAGCCCCCTCTTCCATTTGCCATGCGGTTGGTCAGTCTGCGTGTGTCCGCTCTCCAGTCCCCTCCCTTTCTCTCTTCTCCCCCGTTCCCACGACCCGAAGCGGGGCTCCCACGGAGAGGCAGTACGGGGGGCCCGGCTGGACAGTGGGCCCTCCCGCAGCCATCTCGTCCTCGCCTCGTGATGTGTGTAAGGAAAGGTGCTCTTTGGAATTGAGTGGAGGGAAGAGCTCAGACCATCACGGGCGCCAAGCAGGGCTGGACGTCCTGCTGTGGGGTGAGGGCACCCTCGTGTCCAGGGGTGAGCCGCTGCATGAAAGGGGCATACGAGACGAGTTCCGTTCCCACTGCCTTCCACCGTCCAGTCAGGCTCCCAGTTCATCCCAGACCAGGCAGGAAACGGAAATAAGGGGAAACCCCAGATCGAAACTCCTGCA